GGGACCAACTTTTGAATACCTGGGGCACAGCTGACGATGAATTTCGATCGGCGCTATGCTCTGTGCATTCAAAAACTTTATCACTGACCGCACTTCACAGTCGGCGGGAGCTGGAATAAGAATCTCCATCTTCAACAGCTGCAACGATGCTACTGTGAGAACGCGGGAAGTACCGTTAGTGCATGCGCCATGCTACGTCATTGCTCTATCACGTACGCACAGTCGCTTCGCGCAATATAAGGTTTGCTAGCTGTGGGACGAGTGGGAAACGTACTTTGTGGACGCGCCTCGTACAATATTAATGCCTTACTAGGGACAGTTGGTAGTGACTGATTAAAATCGGACAAAACTGAAACGGGCGCACGCCGAAGTGACTGGATTGGAAATGCAGATACTGCCTTGGTCACTATGCTTACCGTTTTTTTATTATGATTACATTGGTTAACATGATTACCCGGGGAATAACCAGTTACCAAAGCAAATATTACGTCATTAGCGCCATTCGCAAAGGTCAAAAGGTGAACGCACCGTAAATGTTACCCTGTGATTACAATTCTTTGTTCTTTTTTCTATATTCTTTGACATTTTACTTATTACCCTTCTAAAACCTCGTCTGAATTTATGTACAAATGTATTTTGTCTACACACGAATACATGTGAAATTAATTATAATTTCGGAACAACGAACGTCTTGAAATGACCTGTAATTTATAAAGTAAGGAGTTTTATTCACGAAGCTTTGGCTTGGCTCCCACCAACTACTCAGTCCGTTGGCTCCTCCACCGATGTCATTACATCGCCTTTGCAAGATACATCGTAATCTGTCCCCCCAGTTCTCGTTGCTTGGTTGACAATTTTCTTAACACAAACTTCCTGGTGAAGAGAACTCCCAGGGAGTTGATTTGCGTCACAACTTTCCTCGCCAAGTGGCTCTCGGATCAACAGCCTTGACTCATTTCAAATATTTGCTTTTAAGTTTGATTGTTCCTTCACATGGGCCTGTCGTTTCAAGAGACTATGCTCGTCTAAGGGAAACCATTCTGATGTCGAAAGATACCCAAATCTACTACGCGTTGGGTCATACAGCGATTATGTCCCTATATACTAGTAACAAATTAATCTTTGTAATGTGGAAGTTTCGTGTTTTCTTTGGGGTACGAACCATATTTTAAAATATCATTTACATGAACTTCGAGTTTCAAAAGGTTCACAATTTACTTTATTACAAACCTTTAAAATGCCTCATTTAATATAATAACCGCCACGGTGGTCTAGCGGTTAGAACGCTGGCCTTGTAATCCTGGGGATCTCGGGTTCGATTCCCGGCGGTGCCCAAATTTATAACTTGTGTTGGGCAAGGCCGTGGTCTAGGCAACACGGAGTTTTCCTCCGGGGACTTCCCCGGTTTCTCCGTGGCATCCCAACAATTACTCCATTCACACACAGAAGAAGGCAATGGCAAACCACTTCTGGATCATCTGCCAAGAACGTATATGAACAGGTCCCAGTCCGAGAAAAGGATGGAAGGATCCTGTTCATATGGACCTGTCGTCAGACAGAACACTAAATAAATAAATAAATTCAATATAATACGTGTTTTTATTAATAAATCGTTACATATCTGAGATAAGAGGCTATCAGAGAGATGAAGATGGTATTCTATCTTGTGATTCCATGTAATCGTGTTGGTCGTTACCGACGTTTCGGAGGAATGTATGCACCCTGAAGATGGAGGCGATACATTTTTCCGGAACTTTACTAGCCTTACCACATACATAATTGCACGGTGTCACAACTCACAAAATCACAATAAAAATATTTCAAATCATTAGAAGCTTCAGATTTCAAACCTGACTGATTCGACTCCACCATATTTCGTTCAACTCTGTTTGTAATTTCTACATTATGCGCGTTTTAGCGGAAGGGAAAGCCTCCGTTGCAAAGTATTTTAAGAACTAACTGAAGCTAGAGTGCTTTTTCGCGAAATCAAGGAAATTAATTAATTTATAGAATACCGTAAGGGGTGAGGAAGGAAACATATTCATGTTATAAAACAATACGAAAATAATAAAATAGAACTAAAACTCTGATATGATATTGTGTATTTTAATCTGCTTGTAGGAGTTCAAGTAAACTTTACAGCAAATACCTGATGATTGCTTTAATATTAATGATCTGTAATCGACATCTCTTGCCATTTTTTAAACTCTACTGTTGCTAGTATGTATTCTTCAGCGCAACAGATCAGGTACGCTAAATTCTGTTGGCACTGCAGTGAAATCAATCATCTCAAATACATTTCCATCCACAGAACTCTTAAACATTTGAAGTGCAAAAGAGTTAATTTTTTTCTAAGTTATTTTTCCCCCATTAGTAATGAATCTGCTTCTATTGTCGCCTGTGCTTCGTGATTAATTACACAGTGTGCCTGTTTGTCACCCTAATTGAGTATTTTATGACTCGTTTAATGAACCTCTTTGTCGTCAAACGTGAAACACACACATAGTTTACTATATGCAAAACATATCCATTTATACATGTAGTCTAGACATACACATTTTTTAAATTCTCGTTTATTCGTGATCCCTTCAAATTGTCCACGAACTAGCAACCATGAACACTCCTCAGTATAATTTCACAAACCCTTTACAGCCAGAAGCTCACGTAAATAACATTTTAAAATTCATTTCTAACCTCAAATTAAAACACAACACGTCACCATTACTAAGTTTAATTTACCGACTTTACAATGTTCTTTGTTGTCTCCATTATCAGGGCGATGAGTGACAGCAAGGACCTCTAAAACGTTGGTAAACTTCTACCAAGCTACACGGCGCAACAACCCGGAAGACAGCCATCGGAAATTCATTCGTTTATATGATGATACTTTAAATTTTGTGACCCCCTGAACCACACAAAGGTGTCCTCGCCTCATTTGGATTCAGTAAAACATTTTTCTGGCTTCCTACGTCGTAACCCGAACTTCTCAATCTGTCAGTCTTCAAAGGCACCTACGTACCGTACTGAAATTAACGTTTTACCTTTGTGACAATAATCGTGAGGCGGTAAATGGACTCACTTGGACATTACATGGGAATTCCTTTGTTATTAATTCACAGACGAGGCTTTGATGTGATCAGCTACGGTGTCAATTTCAGGACGTCGGTGTTAATTATTTAACCGCAATGTAGAACAACAACTTGATGGATAACCATGAATCTTATTACGAATTATTTGATATGAAGTGAAGCTTTATCAGTGGTACTGATTATTAAAGTAGTGGGATGCTACTATGGTTCATTCCCGGATAAGTCTTTCCATCCCAGAAAGAAATACAATGGTGTGAAGCAGCCGTGATAAACAACATGTTTTCGGACCTGGGGTAAGAATTTTCGGAATGCAGTGCATACGCACTCCAAACCAGTGAAGTCTTTCGTTAAGGCTTTTGCCAAGAGCTTGAGAAGAGTCAGTTTTTACCCTCGAACGCTGCCATGTCTCATAACTGGCGTGTTGCTTGTACAGCCTCCCGCCGACTGCAAATTCGTGTCCATATTAGAACACATCCTTATCTACAGCCCACTGTAATTTCGTAGCTTCTAAACTACCTCAGTTCTTGTCCGTATGTTTAAAGTGTTAATCTTTTCTCACTGTCATGTTTACCTCATTCAAGGCACTGCCATGTTTCCTTACATTAACGCTTTGTATATTATCTTCCTGACAGAAAGTGGCCCATGTGCCACTCTAAATAAAACACCATAAACATAATTTCAACTCAGCCTTTTCTTACCCTCATTTAGAAACTTTTTGAAGTACTTTTAATACAGTTAATCCACTGTCATGTTTGCGTCATTATAAACTGAGTGGAACATTTATATTCTGGAGGTCTTTCAGACGAGGTTCGAGCTATGTAACAGGCAAACTTTGATGTTTTCGTTTGTCGACATACATTTTTAATCATTAGTTACACCACATTTTCATCGTGTTATTCAGAAGAATCGATGAACCGATTAAAACACAATTCTGTTTTCAGTTATACAAGTTTTATTTTTTGTGAAATACTAGAAAATATAACTTACGCAAGGACATGCAATTAAAAGTTGGATTGTCAATCTAAGGATATGTGTTGTGTTTTTAAATCTAAATATAAGTATTCTTAGAAGCCGACGGTCGTCTAAATAACATTAAAAAGCCTCTATCCGGCAAACTCTCGGTCCTTAGTGCTTGCGAGCTTTCTGTTAGAGAGCAGAATGAGCAGAGGATGGATATGCACTGACTGACGATAGAAAAAGCTGTGTCCTTCAGATATACGTTTTACATGACTACTATTGTAAAGTTTGCATCGAAGAATTTACAATTTTCGTGATGATATCTTAAAGGTTCTTACATTTCTTACGCTAAACTAAAATATTTAAAGGATTCCACTGAGTTTTGGCTGCCCAGAAAAATCCTCTCCTAGTTGAAGGTGATGTGCTTGTCACCTTACTAGTCTCCGTGCTGATTCCAGTGAAAATTGACTCTGGGTGGAAAACATTTCGTGGAAATTAAACGGGAAATCATTAGTTTTTCGTATCTTTATTATTGTCTCACTCCTTGCTGTATTCATTTCTTACCGTTTTCTGATTCTAAACGCTGACGATTGATACCAGCTCTTATAAATTAGAACATTATTCCTACTAGCAACATTGCAGATGACTTGTTCAGTTATTCCTTACACAAGTAGTCATAAACAGTATCCTAAGGCTATATACAGATTTACGAAGTAAATTACAAGACAAAATTGTTGCAGTGAAACAAGGAAGATAGTTACAACTCAAAGGTCTCATTGACAAAGCAAAAACTTCAATGAATCTGACACGAATTAATTTTTAGTGGTTTTTTTCCAGCAGGTTTGTAGCCGTGTTATCACTGCTTCTCCTCCCACTACCTCCTACGCCATGCGCAATTCTGGAGTCACTAGAGAATAATGTGCCTGTAAGTGACTGCACTGATTGTATTTACAGGGTATTCTTGGGGTTATCCGAGCCGAGACTGGAGACACCCGGATGACGACAAAGGGGTACCAGAATTCGAAGTAACGACGCCCAGCATCACGGCCCTGGTCGGACAACCAGTGTACCTTCCTTGCAGGGTGAGAAATCTAGGGGACAGAGTGGTGAGTTCCTGTTAACTAACTCTATGAAGCAAAGTCCTTCCTGAGAAGATGATATTAGCTCAACTAGTCCTGTATGGAATCTCATAGTTTATTACAGTGTTCATAAATCTGCTACTGGTTCATATCCTGAGCCAGATGCAACAACTACCCAACTTCCCACCGAATTTCTGTAACATCTATCTTAATATTATCCTTAGATCTACACCTTCGTCTTACAAGCTGTTTGCTACCTTCAGGTTATTTTATTATTTAGTGTTCTGTCTGACGACAGGTCCATATGAACAGGATCCTTCCATCCTTTTCTCGGACTGGGACCTGTTCATATACGTTCTTGGCAGATGATCCAGAAGTGGTTTGCCATTGCCTTCTTCTATGTGTGAATGGAGTAATTGTTGGGATGCTACGGAGAAACCGGGGAAACTCCGTGTTGCCTAGACCACAACACAAGTTATAAATTCGGGCACCGCCGGGAATCGAACCCGAGATCCCCCAGGATTACAAGGCCAGCGTTCTAACCGCTAGACCACCGTGGTCTTGTGTGCATTTATAACATTTTTTCATGCGTGCCACGTGCCCCAACCCATTTTATCCTCCTTTATTTAATCATATTAACAGTATCTGGTAACGTATAAATTGTGATTATGCTTCTCATTTATTTATTCTATTTCTTCCATTATCGGATTACTTGTTTATTCTCAGCCAACGTAAGGGCTAAACGAATTCTGAACTAATTTACTACAAGCGTTCACATGATTTCTTCTGAATAGGAATAAATGTACACGAACATTTATTTAACCTCTCTTGAGGCTTTAGTAATATTGTTTGCATATCCACATTTATAAACAAGTCTGAAAATCAGTCCGTTGTTATAAATATGATTGTAAATTTTACAGCCCCACTCCGGCTTGCTTGGAGTTTGCTTTATGAACTGTTTATGCGCTATTCAAAGTGTCCGCTCCAAATACTGCCGCCTGGTTAAAATTATGTTGGCACTGATGAATGAAACATTGTTCTTTGCGGCATTAACGATGTTATTCTTCTCGAATGTAAAGACAAAAATAACGTGGATAAAACGCGTTAAATATAACGAAACAAATGTTTTTGTTTATCATTGTGGTGTGTCACTTACATTCCAGGAACACGGAGTGTAGAAATAAATATTTTTTCTCAGCCATGGAAGTTGAGGTGTTTATTCTAAATTACTTTAAACAGTAAAGATATAATTTCAACTCGCATTTGAATTTTTAGGTCTACCTAAACATTTTAACTTGCTCCTTCATAACGCATAAAACCAGGGGGAAAAAGACTGCTAGGAAGAACTAAGCGTAGACGGATCAGGATATGGACCGGTGGCGGGATGTTGTGGGCACGTATTGAACCTTCGGGTTCCATAAAATACAGGAAATTTCTTGACTACTTGTGTGGTCTGCTGAATTTTTTGTTGTATGGACATAAATTTGTTAGAGCGCCAGACTGCTACTCTTGACGTAATAATGTTATGGTCCTCCAGAAGGTATACGTTGGCTAGAAATAGCAGGTGTGTTCTGTAGAACAAAGAAAAGTGTCATTCTGTTTCCATGCATCTATTGTGGAGTGAGGTCACTGTGATGATAGAGGGAGGGGTAAAGTTGAACCGGGTTCTAGGCAAACAGGTTATGAAGGCATGAACAGGAATTATCTCCTTTGGGACATCGTCCATTTTGATCCTTTCATTTGACCTTCGCTGTCATTCTGAAAGAATTTATGTATCGAGTGGATAACTTTATACTTTTTAGGCAAGACTCTGTACAAATTATACAAGAATTTATGCAACAAAATCCGTGTTAATCCTTTGAAGCTTAAGATAATCTGAATTAAATTAAAAATTTAATTTCTTTCTCAGAGCTTTTCCATTACAATGACGAATTTGGTTAACTCTGTTCAGAGAAATAACCGTTGTCTTTTGGGGAATCCTGTGAAACATACACTGCACGCGAAACGCAGAGTTACTTGTTGTTAAATCAGGTGGTGCATATAGTTACCATTCCACTTAAGGGGGAGGTTGAATACTGTGTTTAGCATTGTAATGGTAACAGAACTGAATCTGTGTTTAAGCCCTAAACAACTTTGTGGCTTTTAATTTCCCTTAGGCTTCTGTTCTGTTTCTCATAGATATATTTAGTAAGATTAAGTTGGTCGTGCTCTGTAATTAGCACATGACTTAATTCAAACACATTGGCCCAAGCAAACAAATGGTCATGCCGACAGCGACAAGCGATTTAAGCACCGGATCTTTTGCTGTTCGCCATGCATTACCCCCCACCCCCTACTCATTGTGTATAACAAGGGACTTTGAATAATGCCCACGGGAACTGAAACCATATAGAGCCCCCAGCCAACCAAACTGTTATTCCCGGCCATGGCCCTCTGGATGTTGTATGAGCTTAGCAGTAGTTGTTGGTTGTTGGGAAAATGGAGTAGTAAGATTTATTCACATCTAGATGGCCGTGAAGTGCAGTATCACAGAATGCTTTGTTTAAAGCTTTCCTTTCCAACAAGTGCACGCAGAATCCCCAGGGAGAACTGATTTCGTCGAGTAAAAGAAGTTGTTTCTGCGACTCACATTTTTATATTAGGTTTTGGTACCTAATAGCTTATTCGAAACGTCGAAGTAGTAACATTTTTTTCTACGGTAAGAAATTTTGAACACTTAGCCAAACAAATAAATTTAAGGAAATCCCTTATCGGCTGTCCGCAACTGTTTACTTAACATATTTGCAGCTACCCTACTCATGAATCTTACAATTACGAAATTAAGGATGAATCCGTCGCGTTCACTAGTACAATTCAGAAACAGTCAAATCTCACAGCCAATTTCTTCCCTACAGACATTCCTCGCCTCTTTCGCCTTGAGTGCAGCTCTGCCTAGCTGAACCAATAAACGTTCCAGGTTTCAAGAGAAGATTAATGGCATTATGAACTCATGTCGTGGGAACGTGTAACTGATTATAGAGGCCTGCTACATTAATATTGGGAACTCTGTAGGCCTTATCTTGAAGCGGAGAGAGATCTGTTTTGAAAGCAAGGTTCTTAGGAGCAAACAGCAAGTTTGGTCTGTGTGGTAATAAGAAGTAGGAGGGTGGGGGGTGGTATTAGCCATGTTTCGGTTTGTATCACTAGGCGACGTAACCTCTACCCCAGATCCTGATTCATTGAACTACACATACAGATGTCCTATAGATAAGTACAAATCCCAAGACCCCTCTCCAAAGCAACATACACTGTACGTACATGGAAGCCCCCGGACCTCACATAAAGTTTACCAGTCTTTATATCCATTGTGGTAACTACTCTACAGTTTGTCCACTTACGTACAGAAAAGAAACCATCGGAAAGATATATATTATAAAATTACAGGGTCTTCGTTTAAACGTTTATGGTGAGTACTCTCGCCTTATCAAGAGATTACACATCCCATCATTTGACGCTATATTCTGCGTCGTTAAATAAACCACTGCCTGCAATCCGGATAAAAATTCATCTTCAGTCTATGGAACGGCGAATGTCTGCAGGTAAAATGTACAGTCTTCGGTCTGCTTGATTTTTAACCATCCTGTAGTAATTATTAGGCTTAAGTTTTATCCTACATTTCCATTCTTCCTTTTCCACGGTTAAGCAGCCACCCATCTGTTCCACTACTTCTAACAACCCTTGTTAGCGTCCTGGATTTTTTTTTACACTGCCCACCCACTCGAATGCTTATGATAGGAAACAAAGGTTTGTCCCAGACACATAAATCGTATATGAACAAATCATCACTGCCAAAAATGTTTCGTGTTTCTTGTGCAGTAGACCCACTCATTACATCTTATTTATTTTTGGTGTGTCAGTAACAACTTAATTAAGATGACTGTCTTTGGGATGTTGTATTGTGTAGTCTGGTAGAAGTTTACCGGTGTTTCAGAGGTACTTACTGCCTCCATCGTCCTTATGATGGAGGAAGCAAGCACCTCTGAAAAGTCTGTAAACTTCTAACAGACCATAACAAGAAGATTTCTGTCTTCTGGGTTATTGCGCTGTGTAGTCTGGTCGATGTTAACCAACGTTTCAGAGGTCATACTGCCTCCGTCATCAGGGCTATTCAGGGATATTCATCGCCCTGATGACGGAGGCAGTATGACCTCTGAAACGTTGGTTAACATCGACCAGACTACACAGCGCAATAACCCAGAAGACAGAAATCTTCATATTCACCGCTGTGAGAACCTCAAGTCTTACAGACCATAACAACCCAGAAGACAGCCATCTTAACTCACCCGGTTTCATTAGTTCGTCAGTTGTCACTAATCAGATAACTCTAATTGAATATTCACTTTTGGCTTGCAATTTTACTTTACCCTTTTCTGGATAGTATTAAAATATATTAAAATTGTCCGTCAATCACAATAAAGTAATATAAGATAATTAAATGGTTAAAATATTATCCTTTATTCCGCATCGAGTACTCGATTTACATATGGAAGGATAATATTTTAACCATTTAATTATCTTATATTACTTTATTGTGATTGACGGACAATTTTAATATATTTTAATACTATTTTTAAATAAAATCACAATATGGCGCACCTACAATACCTTTTCTGAATGTTGCCGTAATTAAAGTTACATATTTTTTATGAATATCTGTCTCAGTACCTCATTTCAGAACCTTACGCCAGAACTATAATACCTAAAAATTCCCACGGCCGCCACGTTAGAAACATTATGAAGATGCAAAAATACATAAGCAGTTTTTGTTCAAGCCTTTTTTTTTTATTTTCTCTCGGATGGGCGAAAAAGGGCAATTTCCAATTGGTTCGAACTCACCTGCACATTCCATGACTCTCATTTGCCAGTTCCCTTGACCTCGTCCGATCTCCTATTCCTGTATAATTTGCCTTGTTCCTAATAGTCCCCTCTCTAACCGTAATGATAGAGGAGTGCGGTCTTATGAAAGGTTGGCAACACCGTCTTTATTT